CCCAGGCCCCCCGCGGCGCTTGGCGTGGCGCGCCCGGGGCAGAGGGCAGGCGGCCGGTGGCAGGGCAGAGGGCCCAGAGATGCCCGCGACTTCCGGAGCCGCAGCCCTCGAACGGGCCGCCCTTTAGCAGGCCTGAAGGTAAAAGGCACACAGCGTGGGTTGCCGGAGACTGCTGAGAAAGCCGAGTGGGGCAGGCCGGGAGGTAGCAGCCCTGAGCCGCAGAGGTGCGTAGCCTGAAGTAGCAACCATGGGCCACCTAGCTTATTTTTCAGAGAACTTATAATTGTAGCTTCTCTTAATTATGAAGCAAGGGAATTAGTAGAATATTCTCATCTCTTTCTTAGAACGAAATTACAATTTGATTTCAGAGCATAATAATAAGGGTGGCCACCAACCTGAGATCCTCCTGCCTTAGCCTCCCAGAGTAGTAGAATTACAAGCATGTGCACCTGTACCTGACCAGTTTATGTATTTATTTTAAATGAAGAGGTTGAAGGTGTAGCTCAGGGATAAACAGCGTTATTAGCCGAATTTGGGTATTGAAGCAGTATCTGATTGTTCTTCCTGAATCCTTGTAGATTCCCAAAGATATGGACAGAGACAAGTCCAAATGGTGCAAACTAACTGTGTTGTCTGTTTGTTAGCACTCAGTTAAGAGATACAAGAGAAAAAAATCTACCAGAAAGTAACACTTGCGAAGAGACCCAAAATGAGATTGCACCATTGAGCGTATGTATGTTTCTGACTTTGATTACTTGGGATATGCAATAGTTGATGTGCCTCCTGGTGAAAGAATAAAATGGTCTTCATTCAATAGAAACTGCTTAGACTTCTAGTGTTTTTGAAAACATTGACATGTCCTTAGGAAGACCTTGAATTTCTAATGGGTAGATAAATAGCTAGGCACCTTGACTTTTTTTTTAGGTATTGGAGAAGGGTATGATACTAATTTTCTGTGACAGATCTAAAACGTAAACTCCTTTATGTTTTGGTAGCATTTAAACATTTTAAAGCCATTTTCATTCTTTTTGATTTGACTTTCCATTAACTGCTAGAAACATGATTCATTACTAAGAGTTCAATATGTTACAGAGAATTTCTTTCTTTTTTTTTTTTTAATGTATTTTAGTATAGGGTCTACAGGGTCTCACTACACAGCTCGTACTCGTAGTGATACTCCTGTTTTCTGTCTCCGGAGTGCTGGGATTACAGGTGCGGGCCACCATGCACAGTCTCAATCGCCTTCTCAGTGTGCCCCCCCAGGGCGGGGCCAGCGCAGCCTGCTGGGATCCAACCAGGCAGCTGCATCTGCCTAAGTAGAGCTGAGCTATCTGGCCTGGCCCTCAGAATTTCAGTATTCTTTCATTAGAATATATAACTTCTTAATGTGATCTATTTACTATGAATTCTGTATGCTGATTTACAGCTGTATGATAGAACTTTGGGGAACTCATTTGTAAAAATTGTGACTATGACATTAAGCTTGATAGTCAAGTTCTAGAGTTTTAGCTTACAAATTCTACTATAACATGTTTTTTAGGGATGACAGTTTTAACTTAAGGCATATTTAAAAGGATTTTATCTTATATTTTAACAGTAAATGGCAAAGTGTTCCTTGCAGATGGTTCTAGTATTCAAAAAAATGTTTGAGTTTGTTATTTTGTGTACTTCCTTCTGCTTTTTTTCTGTGCTTTTACCACATTTTGCAAGTTACTATATATTCCCCAATATTACTCATAAAAATGTAAATTTTATTGTTTTATAGATATACTGTAATTTGTATAACTTTTCCTGAGGTGGGAAACAAATTCTTCAAAAGGAATGCCTGTTGTAGATAGCAGTAGACATCCTGTTACTGAGGGGTTTTTTGTGTATCTCAGATTGTTACCTTAGAATAAATACTTTGCAATGGATCAAAAGGTGGATTGTGTTTAAAGTTTTTGATTCATGTTGGCAAAACAACAAAACTTTTCACATTGTTAGATGAAAGAATAAAATGGTTTTCATTCAATAGAAACTGCTAGATTTCTAGTATTTTTGAAGACATTGGTAAATATCACTTTGATAGGTGAATGATAGCAAGTTGTTTTGTTTTCCATACCTTTGAATGCTTGTGAAGTTGGTCCATTTTTCTAAAGTTATTAGCTATTTTTGCTTCTTTTTTCATATGTGAAATATCTACCTATTATGTATTTCCATATTTGTTTATGCATCTCTTAGGTTTAGTACTTTAGACTTGTTTATCAATCTGTTGTTTACTCTTATACTTAGATTTTTAAAACCCTTCTTAAATGATCAGAAAAATATTGAGCTTTATCTTTTACTTACTAGTTTATCTCACAGCACTGAGTTAGTTAGTACAATGTATTGCTGATTCCCAGGATATGTTCATAGTATTTTTTTATGTTCGTAGTATTGTTTTGATTATTTTTAGATTTACTGTTAAATAACAAGTTCCATTTATGATCAGTTAGCTCAAAGAATATATTATAGATAGCAAATTGATATATACAGGTGACATTAATTTTCATTATCCAAATAAGCAATGTGATATAAAATAGTCTCAAAATGTTTGCTATATTTTTCTTATTCATTGTAGGAGTCAGTGATTGATGACCTCCAGGTTGACAGTAGTTCATCAGATAGTGAGCTAGTATCAGGTAAGACTCTCAGACTGAATGCTCTTGGCTTTTTCTTTCCTCCAAACATAAGCACCCATGGTTGTCTCTCTGCCACTTTCCATTTCATTGTCTTTGCCTTAGTCCGGTTTGAATTCTTCTGGCCATGCTCTAGACCTTATCCTCAAAACCTATAAACTCACACTAATAAATGGGAAATTACAATTATAATGGGTGTTACAAAAGAGACTGACTTGAGTATAATTAATTGAATTTAGCTAGAGAGAACCTGAGAATTAGCAATTGAATTGAGATCTAAGAGAGAGTAGTAAGATATGTGAAAAGAAATCCAGGCAGAGGGAATAGTATGTGCAGACCCTTAACTGTGGGAAGAAGACTTAACTTCTTTCCATGTTAGAGTGAAAGAAGGCCAGTGTTACTGGACTACAGAGTAGCAGGAAATGTGATTCCATGACAAGATTAGACAGCCAGGTCGAGGCTTTGCATAACTTTGTAGTTTGTGGCATCAGAGAGACTAATGTTTATTTTTAGGGTAGAAGGAGGCTAGTAAAGTCTTTTAATAGGGAGTGATACAAGTTGTTTAGCTCCAGGTTATGAGTGCCTTTAAAATGATTAGCAATTTCAAGCAGGCAGGTAGTTGTAGAAGCCTAACAATAGGAATTTTTGAGCCATTTACATATTGGTACAATTGAAGTTACTTTTGAAAACAAGAAAGCAAGCTATTAGCCACCAGAAATGTAGAGGACTTAAAAGCAGATGAGATTTAATTGATGAATATATCAAAAGCAGAGGCAGGAGTATCATTAGAGATACTTCAAACTCATGGCCAAAAACCTATAATGAAGAGGCCTTGAAGGAATTATCAAGGTGATGGATTAAAAACTACTGTACATTTGAAATACCTGGTCCCTTTTCCCCCATCTCCTTATGTTAGAAACACTGGCAGCTACCAGTACCTGCTACCAGGATAAAACCTGAGAACTACTCCCAAGCACAGTAGAATGTAGTGATTTTATAACATATTGAAGAAATAATTTAGGATTTTATATTTACTGTGGAAGATTGAACATTAGCATTTATTTCTCCTTTTTGAAGATCATCTAAAAGAGCAATAAAGGCATAAAAAGTGAATCCATAGATGGAAAGAACTAAAAGGGAGTCTAGAAGGTAGATGGATGGATTATAATTGAGTTCACCTGAGAGGGTGTAAGTGAAGTTCCTAGAGAATGGACAAACCAAGTTGCAGACTGACCCAGACTGTTTGGGAATTAGAGGCATCACATATTTCTGAAGAATGAGTAGTAGTGTTGAAAATGAGGCTTCAGGAAATCTTTACAAGTGACAGTTAAGTGCTTTGATCCACTCTTATAGTACAGTATCTGCCCTTCTGGCCACCCCACCACTCCAAGGACATTGAAATATAAATTTTGGTCTCAAATGCTGCATCCTGCCCAAGGACAGAGTACTTCATTGAAAACTAGCACTTGCAAAAAGGGAAGGGAATTAATTGAAAGTCTGTGTACTTAGTGGTGAAGGCCCTGGACCCCTTGTCCCTCTCAGGCAGACAGGAAGACCTGTATTGTAGCACTAATGGCCTACTCCCTGTCTAATTTCGTTTCCTAAGCCCAGTTTTTCCCTGTGCCTCATATATGATACCATTTTAATGTCTAATTTTTAACATTAAAGAATCATCAGGCATTTGAAGTAAATATTTAAAATAAAAGGAATTCCTGGGCCTGCTGTGCCAGCCCTGCCCCCAGCAATTGAGACTGGGCGTGGTGGCACAGCCTGTAATCCCAGCTCTTGGGAGGCTGTGAACAGGCAGATCACTACAAATCCAATCTAATGGTGAGAGCCTGAACACCCTGTAGGCCCTTCCCTAAAATACAAAAATAAATAAACTAATACAATAAAATAAAAGGGATACTAGATAAAAAGAAATTTGAAGGAATAGACAAGGAAAAGTATTACTTTGTTCATGTACTCAAGGTAATGGGAAAATGTTTCCACAAAACAAGTGCAAGCTATTGTAAAAAGCAGTCAGAAAACAAAAAGAATTTTTGAAACTTAAAATATAAAATAAAAAATAAAACATCGTATCAAATTAAATGATAAATTTAAGAAAACAATCCAGATACAATTGAATGTTTTCTTGGTACTGGGAATCAAACTCAGGGTCTTGCTTGTGCTTGCTAGGCAGGCACTGTGCTACTGAGTTGCTTACATCCCAGGCTCCCAGACAATTGAACAGACATCAAAGAGAAGGTAAAAATAGTGGCCGTGATGGTGCAATTATGTGAATAGATACAAAAACCATTCGATTTTATTATAAAGGGTTGAGGTTAGTGGAATATGGATTCTGTATAAATCTGTTGTTTAAAAAATAAAAATAAGGTACTGGCCAAATAGCTCAGTGGACTAAAGTGCCTGCTTAGGCAGACACAGGGACCAGGGTTTGATCCCCAGCGTGCTGTGCTGGCCCTGCTCCCAGGGCTTGCTGTGACAGCAATTGAGACTGGGTGTGGTGGCTTGTGCCTATGATAGCAGTGCTTGGAAAGCTGGAAACAGGAGGATCACTACAAGTCTGATCTGTGTAATGAGACCCTATAGATCCTGTACTAAATACATTAAAAAATAAAATAAAAATAAAAATAATTAGGTGAGCCTAAGTCTGATGTCTGAAAAATAGTAGTTCAAACCATAAGTACAAAGGAAATTATTAACATAAAACCAAAAATGTTTTAGAATTAAAAATAGTCATGAGCACACATATTGAAAAAGTCTTTGAAGATTCTGCGCAATAAGAATGGAGATGTGGAAATCTAAGTTTAGATGGTTTAAACTATGCTATTGCCATAGCATGTGGGAAAAGACCCACACCAAGGTATATTATATAATTTGAAAATCCTCAGTAGAGAAAGGAACTCTTCCTTCTCCTAAAAAAGAAAAGAAAATCAGTTGCAAACAAGAAATCAAGAGTCTGATGACACTGAGCTGGGCACATAATTATAGTCTGGAAGGCTGAGGCAGGAGGATCAGTATCGCAAATTCAAGTCCTGCCTGGGCAACTTAGCAATATCTCGTGTCAAAAAGTAAAAAGGGCTGGCCACGTAGCTCAATGATAGAGCAGCCCTGAAAAAAAATACATAAATGTAAAGCATTGTATTGCCATTCAGAAAGCAACTCCAAGAAGCTAGAATATGGTGGGGGCAGGGAGGACATTTAAATTTCTGAAGAAAACTGGTTTTGCAGAGGTAAATTTGAATATCAGGACTGACACTATCATCTACACACAACAATAGTATAGAAATATTTGTTATTCATACAATGATAAGGCATGATTCCTATGCAGTCCTGAAATAGTTTGAGAAGGCAGGGAAAGGAGATTGGCCTGGTTGTTACGCTGGTGGGGCTGGGATGTGGTTTCCCAAAAGTGCTTTGAAATTAGAACCACCAAAAGGTGGAGCACTAGGGCTTTTTTCTCAGCTTGCCCAGATGTAGGGCAGAAGATGAAGAGGGAAAAGTGATGTTTAAAAGCTGTTGTATGGGGCTGGTGAGATGACTCAGTGGTCTAAAGCACCTACTTAGAATAAGCTAAGCAAAGCATAGGGACTGCGGTTCAATCCCCCAGCACCACATGCCAGCCAGCCCCGCCCTCTGGTGGGCTGAACTGGCCACACACACACAAAATAGATAAATAAATAAATAAATAAAAGCTGTTGAATATCAAAAAATTGAATCAGTCTTGAGCGTACTAATCCAAAGTTCTGTATCCAACAAAACTGTCATTCAAGTATGAAGATAACATAAAACGCTAACTAAAAACACAAAAGCAAAAATTAAAATAAGTCTTAGACTTATGTACCTTTTCCCAGAAAATGCTGCAAAGAAAGCAGGGAGCAAATTAATAAAGAAGAAATCATGGGATGCAGAGATCGAAGGTTTTAATATAGGAAACGTGAGAGAATTTGTTGGGATAATGCTAATGAAAATAAAAAGGCATCTGTAGCATATTGAGATTTAGCCTACCTAAATTTCCACAAGTGGATGAAGATCTCCAATAGTAATACTTCTTTTTTTAAAATTTTTTATTCATTTTAATGAGAAAATAAAATAGCACTGAAACAGTTTCAAAACAGGTTAGTAGGACAGTTACAACAAGTAATACATTGCATATTGTTGTCTTCGTAGTAGTTATTCAGAGTACAAGATGCAGACATGATACCTTGTCTAAACAATATTAGTACAAACCTCATTGCACTAAGAGAAAATAGCTGTATATCTATCCTATTTTGTATGTACATATTTTTTCACTACAGAAATGGTCCTTTATATCCCCCATTTTTGTTTTGTTTTGTTGGAGATGGGTGTTCCATTGCTGTTAGAGAAGCTGTATTTGGAGAAGTCTTTAAAGGGACCTTTCATATTTGATGCCAGTTAAAATATTGTAGGTACTTGAATTCAGCAAAATAACCCAACATAGTCCAATAGTCCATATTAGTAGTGAATCTACTACTAGATTCTAATCTACGTCCAGAAGAGAATCTTAATGGTATTATTACCCTGTAACAGGCAGTTTGCCTTAGCATCACTATCTGTCTGAATATCAAACACCTTAGACAAGGGGCTGGTGGGATGGCTCAGTGGTCTAAAGCACCTACTTAGAACAAGCTTAGCTAAAGCACAGGGACCGCGGTTCAATCCCCCAGCACCACATGCCAGCCAGCCCC